GCAATTTTAAAGAATGTAAACTTTTTTTTTTTTTTTTTTCCAGATAATGTAGAAATAATAGGACAAATGACAATACATTTAAATAATCGAGTTCTTCAAGTGGACAAGTATGTTTTGCTTGTGACAGTGTTTGTTGTGTAAAAGTGTGCAGTATTCTTACACTGATGCGTAAGAATTATTACACTTATGTTCAACTTCATTGTTCAAAAATTCACAGGATGAAAAATTTATTTTTCATTCAGAATTTTGTCATATACTAAGATTAAACCAAGATCTGTAGAAAATATTTAAAAAAAAAAATAAAGAAAACTGATATAAACTTTCTCTGTAGCATCCTACATCTTGAGCTTCTGTTGGTTCTTATGTGACTATAGGACCCTGCCAGAAGTTATTGATCCAAAGGCTTTGGAAGGCTGTTGGGTGCTCTGAAGTTTAGAGAATAGCTCTTTCCTGTGGGTCAATTTTTTTCTTTGGGAACTAAGAAGCTGTTGTGGATTATACTTATCAAACCAGAGTGCTTCTAAAAATATTTAAGTTACTTTCAGTTTTGTCTGTTTTTCTGATCCATGTGTGTAATTAAATGATCATGGTTATTCCTATTTCTTATGTGTCGACAGTCTGTCTTTTTCTAGGCTTAAAGAAACAACTTTCTCTAGCAGTTGAAATGAAATCTTTTGCCTCTGGAGGATTGAGAATAAGGGAGCTTGCATAGACTAAATGGAAAGTAGGATGGTAATTACAGCTCAAGCTGTATTTTGATTTCACTTAATTTACAGTCTGAGGTGCAGGAAGTTAGCTGGACATTTGAATGTTACAACTGTTGCAGTCTAATCACAGGAATCTAATAAGACTCATGTATTTTCTTTTTCAGATTCATAGAAGTGTTCTGGAGGTTATTCTATGTATTCAGTTGCAAATGGAGAAAAACTAAATGCTGTAAATAAAACAGTAATTATAATTGTCACTAAGAAGGGTAAAAAAATACACCATTTAAACCTGTGAAGTTGCTTTGTAGTGTTGATTTATTGTGGTAAACTTAGCAATTGGATGAGGGAAAAGTGTGTTGACATTTCTTTCTATCTTTCCTCCAGTCTATTTTTTTTAAATTAAAAAAGCATTTTTTCAGATGGAGTTGTGTTTTTGTATTTAAAAAAAAAAAAAAAAAGTTAAAAAAGAACAGCATGCTACATTAGTAAGACTGAATTGATTGCATTACTGTTTAAGTTGAAAGTAGACCAATATTTTTTGAATGGATTTTTTAAACATAAAATCTTGCCTGTTTATGGTTTGGTTCCCCTAGACCAAATTAACTTGGACACTCGGCTGAGATTCTATTTATTCTGGCATAGGAACAGGCATTGGGCAGAACTGCTTGGTCCCAAAAACCTGGTAATGGTGAGTGGCCTCTGTTCCCAGCCAGCTGAATGCCTGAGGTATTTTGCCATACAGGAAATCAATTGCAGATGAATGTGAACTGTTTCTACTCCAAGTACATAAACATGCCTTATGGCAATATAAAGAAAAGGAAAGAAAATGTATTATTTTTTAAAATCCAGTCTTGCATTCAATAGCTACCTGAAAGTTTAGAGGAAGAACACTGATATTCTATTTCTGTGGGTTCTTCCCTGTCACAGCTGGCTGAGTCTGTAGCACAGAAATAGCGATGGAGGAAAAGAGAAGCAAATTAACCTTGAAGTGCTCCAGAAGATGCAAACATCAACCAGTGGATTAGAGAAATGAAAATAATAAAAAAGAGATCTGTGTCCAGTTTCTAGTTGATGTTTCGGGTGATAATGTGAAGCTGGGAAGGATTATAAGTTTAACTGAGGAAATGAGTTCTTTCCTTTATTAAATCAAGAAACCTGCACTTTTGAAGGCTTAAAGACAGGTTAATAACTTCTTCTAAAAAGAACTACATCACAATTCTATCAAAATAGTTGCTTTTTATTAAGTGATAGATGAAATGGTATCTATTTTTGATCTTTTGAAAGTAGCTTGATTGGATGCAGGTAGCAGACAGATCTTAGAAAATAACTAGTGGATCTGATTTGCCTAACAGATACCTATGTGTCCTTACATTGCTCAGCAGGGAAGTGGGGGATCATTTGGACAGAGGTTTCCAGGCATTAAAGATAATTAGGTTTAAAATCTGTGCTCACAATTTCTAGAAGCAGTGAGTGCCCTGAAGCTGTCAGTGTTTCAAGCTTGGGAATTGGAGAGCACTTTCCTACTCCACTGCAGACTTAGAGTGTAACCTTAGATAAACTGTTTCATCTAGATTTTAATGACACGTAGGTGGGGAGGTACTCGCAGGGGTGGTAATGGGATTTTCAGAATCACATTAGTGTCTAATTCCTATTGAAAATCTAATACCTCTAGTCTGTCTGAACCAGATTCAGCACATGCTACGTTTTTGTTTCGGATACTGTTAAAGGCAAAATGCAAAGGCAGTACTGGAGCCGTAGTTTCGAGTGTATAGAACCTGGTGACTATGTCTTCCCCAGAGGGTTAGATTCATGCTCTATTGTATCTTTTCTCTAATTCCTTAAATTTTGCAGGATACCATAGATTGAAGAGAAGAGAGGAAAAGTGATTCCACTTTGCCTAACTTGACAGTGATTTCTTTGGTGAGTGCTCTACTGGGTATATTTTATTATCTTTTTTTTTTTTTTTATAATGTTTATTCTTCTGGCTGAGCTAAATATTTTTGGCATTCAGTGAAAATGCTCCAAATAAACCATGAGACTGCTTGATATGCAAATCCCATATGATACCCTAAAGGCCAGAGACACTAGCCAAGATGGTGGGGTTTTTTGATGTGCCTTGAAGTTTGGATAATATAAAAATTTGGAAGCATCCAAGCAGTTGTGACAGGCTAAGACCGCAGTTTTAGTATCTGTTTCTATAACTATTTTTTTTTTTTTTTTTTTGCTAAAGTTCTGCTTAGTTGCTTTTATTCTGTCCTTTTGGAGGTAAAAGTGGTGTTTTTATAGAGAAGGAACAGCCCTATAATTAAGCAGAGAATAAGTTTTGGAAGATCCAGGACTTTTGTCTTCTGCAGAGGTTTCCCGTATTGCTTCTGTCATTTTGAAAAGTAATTAATTTTTCTTTCCAAGTTTACATTTTTAGGAGGGTGGGTTTTTTTGGTTTTTTTTTTGTGGACTCTTACTACTGAAGTTCCTGGGGGCCCTGACGAATTTGAAAGAATACAGAAAAGCAAGAGTATATGTGAATGAAATATCTCTTGGTTGGAGTAGCTGATTACATTCATTTTGCTATCTAAACATCACTGTCTTTCCAGACATTTTCACAGTAGGACTAGTTTGAGACTGCAGTAAATATTAAGATGGCTTTAGGCAAGAAGGTCCTTTTTTCTTCATTTTTCCTCTTTTCTTACCAAACATCTCAGTCCTGATGCCAACCCAAAGGAATCTTTTCTTCTCTCAGAAGAAAGCAGGCATTCAGTGATGGGCTTTGAGGGTAACTGCACAAACACTGCTATTTGGAAAAAAACTGTGATTTATAAATAACCTATTTTGCTCCTTCTAGATGAGGAAACTAATGCTGGAGTCAGTATAGTATGGATTAATTAAAGAAAAAAAGTAAATTATGTTAATTGCCACAGGCAACAGAGGGAATATTAATGTACTATAGTAGGAAACTAAATAAGTAATTATCATAATATAGGGCTATTCATTCATTTTTATAGTATCTATTGACAATCAAATGTTTACACAGTTTCAGAAGTGTGGCAGTTTTGTCCTTTCCAATATTTTGAGGCTGCATTTCTGATAGACACTAGCATAATTGCTTAGCATCCAGCTGAAGCTTACATCTGTTAAACATTAGTGAGATCTCTCCTTTGGATCCAAGGGATAACTGTGTCTGTAAGTAGGAAACCATTTTGCAGAGGATGAGAGAGGAAAGACCAGAGATTCTTGGTGTTTTATAAAAATAGCTATTTGAGTTTGAATAAGGCTGCACGTTTTACATAAACAAACAAAAAATTGGGTTGACCTAAATTCAGTACGCTAGTTGCTTGTCTTATTTGCTGATTAGTTAATTGCCAGCAATTTTTTTTCCCTCCACAAATGTGGAGGGGCAGAGCGTTCCCAGGCCCCACACAGCACGTTGTTTTATTTAGCTGAAATTTATGCATATTAAAATGCACATTAAGTATTGATCTCATGACCTTAGGAAGTGAACTGCTTGCACAAATTCCCCCCCCAGCCTTGAAATGTTTCATTTCATGCATTGCTTAGCCTTTATTTCTGAGTTGTAGTGATTTTAATCTGTTTGTAATGAACAGAAAAGCTAAATGAGACTGAAGACTCAAATGAATTATCTTCTGAAAGCAGAGAAAACATTATTTGTACCCATGTCCTAAGAAGCAGAGGATTTCCTAAAATTCTTTGGGATACATGGCAGACAAGAACACAGTTTACAGTGTTTCAGAATATTGTTGAATCAACAAAACTGGAGTGTGTGGGAATGTTTCAACTGAAGGCATGAGCGGTTCAAGGACTAAATGAAGAATATTTAGCAAGGAATTAATATTCTTTCATTTTCCCACGAAATTAAAGTATGATGAGCGGTGTTCTGCAAAAGTAAAAGCTTAATGGTTTGGACAGATGCAGCTTTTAGGGCCAAATGTTAACTCTGTACCAAGTAGCCACCAGTAATTTTGGCAAGTTCTCTTCAAGTTCCAAAACTAAATATAGATGTTTTAAGAAGATTTAATGCTGAGATTTTTTAGGGGGTGGGGCAGACAGTTTATGAAATTTGTTTGTGTTGATATTTTCAGTTTGAATTGCAAGCAGTATGGTGTGCTTCTAATGGTTTCAATGAGTTGCTGTTTAGAATACAGTAATCTTTGGGAAGAATGAAGATGGACTTGAGCAATTCAAAATCCTGACATCTAGTGTAGTGAGGGAAAAAATAACACATCCATATACTTGTTCAGAATGAGTTTTAAAACACTGCATTTATGCTGTAGGCCAATATAAGTTTGAAAAACGGACAGAAATTCATTGATCTGTGCATCTCCATTTGCTTAGTTTAGGCCAGGTATGAGGACTTTTGCATACTGTGTGGGATAGAAGGAATGATGCATGCCTGCATATAAGCTTGTCTGTAAGTCTGTTCTATTTTTGGTATGCAATGGAGAAAAGGTGCAGTGCAAAAATAGGAGCTTAGTTGTGGTGTGAAGGCCTGTTGAAGTTTCTTATTGCAGAAAATGCCTACCAGATTATTAGTGCAGCTGCATGAGTATCCATGGGAATATTCAGGGTTTAATATAGCATACTGGATTAGAGTCTAATACTTTAATTAAAGCTACCACTTTTTAATAAGTTTTCCACTTTGCTGCTGATTGCTGATACAGACCTAATATGAAGTGCATCTTTAAGGTTGCTTGCTGCTGGCAATTTTATGAAACCTCTAATTCTACTTCAGAGCTTATAGGACAGCCAACTAGCAACTGAGATATTTAACAGAAGCCTGCACAGATCTGACTGGGTTTCTCAAGATATTAATCCAAATAACTTATACCAGTGACCTGCTGAAAGTCTAAACCTTTAATACATATAAACTAAGTTTTGTAAAAGTTGTGTTTAAAAAAAAAAAAAAAAGGCTTGAATTGATTAAGCATCTTTTGCAGACGCTGTCTTATTCTTCTACCAGTTCATATGTTTCAGGTTTTCAGCTGCCAAAAAGATCCTGTGAAAAGAATTGCCTGGACAAATTCAGGAGTAATATAATAAGGATTTTGTATATTCTGTGGTCAAAGGATTCTTTTCAAAGTTTTTGATCTTAAGATGTTGAAAAAAAATTCTTATCTCTACCTTTATCTAAAAGACAACCCAAAGACAAGCTGCTGGCCCCTACTTTTCCCTATGCTCCCTCAAAGCAGTCAGTCCTTTCCAGCTGCCATCTCCTGTTGTTGTGGTCAGATGATCAAGGAAAAGTGTATGCTTCCTTTTGTGTCCAGTAGATAGGAGTTCTTAACTGATGACTGCTGCTTTCTTTCTGACATAAAGGAAATGAATGGGCAGCAGTGATTATAGCACATCTGTTGTTTTCTGTTGAGCATCCTGTACAGCAGTGAAACTGACTTGAAGACGACTTTTTTTTCCTGTTCAGGACTAGTTAGTAGAGGGGATATGGGTGACATGTGACAGCATTGTTCCTTTGTCACAGGTGTAGCCAGAGCAGAAAAACAAATAATTGGGACAGAACAACTTGTTTATGTCTTAGAAATAAGTATGTCTTACAGAAAACCCAGTTGTTGGAAAAGCTTTGGGGATGTACTGCACTTTGGTTGCCCTGGGTAGGTGATGAGTTCTGTCTTCATGGTGTAGTCCCTGCATGGTAGACACTTAAGATGGTTCTTATATCACAAAGATGTGAATGGAAGTGGGCTGCTCTCAGTGCAGCCCCTGATACTCTCTGTGCAAACCCTCTGATTGTGTCTACAGGAAAGTGTTTTGTCAGTCTCATCTCACAAAGTGTGTGAGAAAGCTGTTGATTGAAAGAGCACTCTAAATCAGAGTCCTTACCACTTTCCTTTATTTCTTTCTTTTGTTTTTTATTATGCTTAATTGCAGCATTTCTTTTAAGCAACGTGCCAGTACTCTGTTTTTGCACACGCTAAATGTGTTGGTACTTAAAGAGTCAGTGTTTATGCAGAGTTTAGATGGAGCTGTTTAACTGAATCTAGCATGCTGGGTAGTGCTGCCCTCTTTCTTTGGAGTTTCTGATGTGTGCCTGCTAAAATTGCCTTTTGTTTTTTTCTTTCCCCCTCTATGCGTACGTGTATCTTTTTTTTCCCAATCCTTTCTTGCCATTTGACATACCAAGATCATCTTTGCCCCTTTGTTCTTGAGGGTCTCCATCAATTAACGGGGGGGGTGTTGAAATGTACAACTTTGTATGCCTAAGATCCTTTTTAGCTGGAGGCTTACAGCCTTTTTAGAGCTAAGCAGGTTTTTCAAATAACAGGTGCAGGTGTCCACTAGAGATCAGAAAAGCGAGCAAGAATAAACAGTGCTGTAAGTGAACATCAACATAGTTAATGATGCCATAAATCAATCATGCTGCAATTATGGCCTAGAGGTACATATGCACTTATGGTGTTGGCAGAACAGGTATCAGTGTGATCCCCTCCTTGGGTACTGCTTCTACCTGCAGTCTAAACTCACGGACTGTGCAGAGTAATTAACTGCATAGTGGTCCAGTATAGCAAAGGTTAAACTTCTGTGATGGCTTGCTTTTTCCTGTAAGTGTGAATGGCTGTTATTTTAGAAAGCTTTCTGATATCTGTTCCAGCCAAATGCACTTGTATGAACTTCTGAGGAGGCATTTGATGATATTCAGAACACATTTCAGAAAATTGTTGTTTTCAGGTTTCTGGAAAAATGAGATACATAAAAACAATTTTCAGTCTGTCTTTCTGTCTGTTTTTCCATCTTTCTGTCCTCCCATCTTCCTTGTAGTAAATTTAGTCTTTGTGGGTTTTTCTTTTTTTTTTTTGAAGGGGGGTGCAGTGGTGTTTTGTTTGTTTTTGATAGACTTGTCTAAGGGTAATTTAAGCAATTAAATAATCCTTTTGCTTTCTGAATGAGATATA